TTGGGGTGGTTCTAGTATAGAATACTGTTAATGCTACAGCATACAAAGACATTTTAGACAATTGTGCACTTCCAGCCTTGAGGCCACAGTTTGGTGAAGGCCCTTTTCACGATGACTGTGCTCCTGTGTACAAAGCCAACTCCACAAAGACGTGGTTTGATGAGTATAGTGTGAAGGAACTTAAGTGTCCTGAACAGAGCCCTGACCTCAACCCTATTGAACACCTTTGGGATGAATTTGAATGCATGCAAAACAAACACAGTGCCTTGTCCTCGTGTAATACAGTTTATTAATCAATGAACATACAAGCTGACATAAAATACTACTCGCATGGTAATCACTGCATGAATGGTACAAGGCAGACCCCACTCAAAGCTGCCTTGCTAGCTGATGCGTTTCGGGGAATATACCCCCTTCCTCAGAGCTAGCAAATGTAAAATTAAATACAAATATATAGACTGGGTGAGCACTATGTGACCCCAAACCAAACCCACTTAAACGGATGCAGCTGATCACCAGGGGGAGTGTGTGTGTGTGCTCCATACCAAAAAGTACATAGCTTTTTAATGGGATTGCAGTGCAGATTTGTATAAAGCTACTGTGAGCATAGCAACCAGTGACATTCCTGGTTCCATTTCAGCAAGCAATAATTATTAACAATAACCCAGCATTAGGTTGTAATAGAGGAATCAGAAAACTTTATATCTTGGTTAAAGCAGTGGCCAGGATCTCTTTTTTTTAAGTGTTTCTCAAATCAAAATCTGTAACATAATTGTGGGCCTGGTACATCATCTGGGGAAGGCCACATCCAGTATTAATTATATTGATAGCAATTCTGGTCATTAATGTTATTATTGATTGTGACGTGATATCTCCGTATGCTGTCAAATGAGGATCATGTAAAATGCTGATTAAAACATTGCTCATTACGTAATGATTTCAGGCCATACATCTCTCAGTTTTGCTGGGAACAGCTACATCAAATATCGGGTCTCTGAAAACAGCAAGAGAGATGAATTCAGACTGGGTCTACGAATGAGGACCCTGCAGAACAATGCCATCATCATGTACACCAGGTCCAACCCCTGTATGATCCTAAAGGTAAATAGCTATTAATTAACCTGCATTTGGTGTATCTTGCTCTATTCATGTGATCACAGGTGGTATGGGGAAAGGGATGGGGGGGTACATGTATCATAAGGGTGGGCAAATTGTGTATTAGTTGTGTTCTGGGGAATGTTTATTAAGCCATGTCTTGATGGCCATGATTGGAGCTTTGTTCATGATTCAAGCAGCCTTGTCCCATTGCAGCAGTAGAGGTGTAAGTGACTGGGCCCCAAAGCAAAATCTCTCAATGGTTTTCTGATCCTTTCATTTTAATGGAAATTGCAGGTGAAGTACTGAACAACCATGTGTTTTCAGTGCTTACTTGCAGCATTTTTCCTTTCTATAAATTACTTTTTATTCACTTGCAATGTGGATTGCCTAAGGAAAAGTAAATTCCCTAGCACAGCCCCTTCCTCATTGCACATTATAACCCTCTCCTCTACTGGGAGTGTCTGATTACTCTCTGTGCTGGCCCATCTCCTTTGCTCCTCCTTTCACCTCCCTACATAACCTTATACTGTTTGTAGCTGCCAAGGGAGGAGCGAAAAGGAACTCATCATTCTCAGGCCTTTTGGATGTCCAGACAAGGGAGGCTTTTACAGGTAAATAATATGCATAAAATGTGTTAAAGGCACATGTAATTTTTTAGAAAGTTTCTTGTTGAAATGAATGGTCTGGTGACAGGGTCCCTTTACAGCTGTTATCAAAAGAGGGAAAAAATGAAAGCAGATGCCCCAAATGTTTCCATTCTCCTAACCCTCCTGTATTGACATTTTTTGTTAACTGTATTGTCTCCCTCCATTTTGTAAAGCGCTGGGCAAACTGTTGGTCTTGTATAATAATAAAAATATAATAATAATATTGCATTATGGCCACTAGATAAAGCTAAAGGAACATAGGAAATTAGTATTTATTTCCTATGCTCCTCAGTGCCTTCTAGTGGCTATAATGTAGAATTACATGAAAAAAACATTCGAAAATACATTCCCCTGTAAAGAAACCGTTAAATAATGTCCGTTTTTGACATGTATATCAACACACAGCGAACGCTTACAGATATTCAGAAGGCGAACGGTCTTGTGAATAGTTTGTAAATAGATCTCAAAGGGAATTTTGTGTTGCAGCTTTTCTGGTCCTTTAATTCAAGCTGAGATTTTTTTTATTTGAAAGCATTTTACAACAGCAAATGAGTGTAATTATTCCACCAATCAATTCCTTCTCATGCATAATATAACAGAAAAAAGGCATAAAGCTCACTGGCGCAGGCCCTCTCTGGAGACCATTAAACTGCTGTATCCCTCGTTCTCACTGTAAACTCTTTGAAGGCTCTTTAGAAAGCTTTTGTATTTAAATTGGTAGTTTGCAACCGAACGGCTCGGCGGTAGATGCCTTTTAGGTCATTACAAGTAATCAAAGCTGAATACTGCATATTCTTTTGCTTATATTTCTGTACACCAGAGTCAGATAAAGAAAAGCTACGTTGTGCACCGAGAGGGACATTTAACAGGAAGAGAGGTTTGCTCAAGCAAATATTACTGTACTACCAGGGAAAATGTGTTTTCTTTCATATCTGTAAACTTATTACACAAATGTGGTCTATGTTCAATATGATTGAGATGCTATATGCTCAAGAGGACTCAAAAAATAATATCATTTTGTAGACAAAAATATTCTTGGTGTGGTGAGGTGAAGACAAGTTCAGACACAACACAGAGCAGTTGTATCTTGAGAAACAAAGGATAACATTTCAGCACAGTGATACTGACGGCTGACTTTCATGAATTAGGTGCCATGAATAAGGACCATACCACCAGAAAAGTGTTGCAAGTGATTATAGAATCACACTCATTGTTTGATGCATTTGGTGTGGAGGAACTTGAATGTCCTGCACAGAGCCCTGACGTCAATGTTACAGAACAGCTTTGGTATGAATTGGAATGTCAATTGCAAGCTAGGTCTTCTCATCCAACATTTGTACCTGACCGCACAAAAGCTCTTCCAGCTGATTGGGCACAGCTTCCCACAGACACCCAAAATCTAATGGAAAGCCTTCCCAGAAGAGCAGAGGCTGTTGTAACCACAAAGGAGGTCACATCTATATTAATGCCCATGTCTAAAATATGTATGAATATAAAACACATATTCAAGTATTTAATGAAAATGGAAAGGTTTAATTTAAAAAAGTCATCAGCAGGTTTATGGAAGGAAAAAAATAAAAGCAGATTAAACTTCAGTTTAGAGCCCAAATCCAGCTTTGCTTGGGACCACCACTCTTTCCCTGAAGCCCTCTTTTGCATTTTTTTTCTAAAATCAATGTATGCAAACCCTAAATCCAGAGCTAGCAACCTGGGGTGCTCTGGCTGGAGAGGGTGCCTGCACCCCCCCTCCTCCCCACCACCACCACGTCACCCAAAGAAATGCCGCCTCATTATAGAGACAGCCCTGCATGTGGAGCATGCATACGTACAACTGTACCTACATACAGCGACTGAGCCACACGTTGGGTATCACCGCGAACATCGCAGTGATAGCAGTAATTCTAGGGCCATTAGTCGCTGTTAAAGTGATTAGCAGTAAAGGCTTTTGATGCGTTGCCTACGGACAACAATGAATACCATAGTTTTTCACCATTGCACAGGCGTCCACAATTTTAAGGCATGACATGTTTGGTATCTATCACTCGATATAACTGCATCTTTTATATTTTCAAAAACATTGGGTATACTAAAATTAATATACACTAAAATTAATTTTTTAATTTAATTTAATTTTTTTTAATATAGTTTTTACTAAAAATATTTATTTGATAAATGTGCAGCTACAAGTTTTTAAATCTACGGGGCCCATGCTTTCAGAAAATATATCATTGTTTGGGGGTTTAAAGTCATTTTCTATCCAAAAATTCAGATTTTAGCCTGTATGTAAAAATATTTTAAAAAATTGCTCTGGTCCTATGGTGGTTAAATTAAAAAACGTCAGATCTCCAATGTAACAGAATATACTTTAACAAAATAAAAAATCCATAACTGTTAAACATTTCCTATTATATTAATTATGTGGTATTTTTATGAAGAAAATCTGGTTTAGAAAGTCCTTTTTTTTCATCCTTTCTATTGGAAGCCACAATGGATACAACATGTCCACCGTGCCTGACAAGTATTCCTGGGAAATCATTACGGAGCATATGGAAAGGGCTGTATCTTTTCTCTCAACATCTGTCGGTGAAATGAAGGGGGTTAAGAAGTATAATGAGATTAGAGCATCCAGTCCGCAATCCTAATTTGTTACGAAATCACCTTCAACACTGGCTGGAAACAAAAGCGTTACTGCTTTTATTTTTTTTTACAGACTGCCTGTCTGAGCAATAAAATAAATCTTTTTGGCACTTCTCTAGGATAATGTGTTACCAAGTGCGCCTTGCTTTTTTTTTTGTTCTTTTATGAAGACTGTAGCTTTTTTTTTACTGCGTGTTGGCAATCCTCACTACTTGGATGGTCTCCCGGTGGTGACTTGGTTGGGAAACACGCAACATTTTAATTAGATACACCCGCCACGAAGTGCACACATGGAATTTAATATCTCTTTCGGAACAAATCCCGTAGTAACTTGTTAGCATTCGGGAGACGCACTTGCAGATGGACCCTATATGGCGAAGGTGTCCCCAGAGGTAGTTTTAGTGTTGCAGTAAGTGCAGATGGTATCCAGAAGCTGGAAGTATAGAGGCCAAGGGCAAGCTGTTTTCTTCCAGGTGTTAGGGGCTACAAGTCTCAGCAGATCTTGGTGATTTCAGCAGAGGGGATATAAAGTGTACCAGGAGTGTTCTGAGGATTGCTAACAACCAATGCAGCAGATTAATCAGTGCACAGTTCCTTGTTCATGTGATTATACCTGGTTTTCTACATTATGCTTGTATTGACACCTACTGCACCAATGTTAGTTTTCAGCACAAGTGCCAAATAAAAGTTATATATAACTATAATTCACCTTTAATCCTTTTTTGTATTATTTTTCTTTTTAACACACGTGTTAAAATGCACATTTTAGGTCTGAAAAAGCCCCTAAAATGAGAGTGTATATTTTCTGAAAGCAGAGACCCCGGAGAGTAATATGCCCCCCAGAGAGTAATATGCAGCTGCAATTTTTTAGGTCACACAATATTAGGGCAACAGTTTATCAAACCCAAATGTTCAGTAAAAAAAATGCATTCAAATTCATTTTAATGCTCAAAAACACAATATAATACCCATTTTCTGATTAGGTATAAAGAGTAAGTAGATACCAAACATGTCAGGTCTCATGAAATGGCGAAAAAACATTGGTATCCCAAATTGTCCAAATGTGATGCTTTAAAAGCCTTTACAGGTCATCAGTTTCGAGTTAACTGTGAGTAATGACCCTTGAATATTTCCTCTCACTCCAATGTGTGCAAAAATATCCAACATGTGTGGTGCAATTGTTTTCACATGCACATGCATTTATGTTCGTATGTGCATGTACCCAGTGGGGGGTGGGGGGGGGGCTTTAAACATTTTAGCCATCTATTAAATGCCTAATGTCACCTATGCATCCAATGCAGCTGAATAGGGAATGGCAACTCAGAACCCGGAAGTTACTAAATCCTCATTGCTTCCGGCTTCATTCACCGGAGGGTAGATCAGTGAATGGATGGATCAGTGAATAGGAGCTTACTGGGGGTTTGGACCTGTTCCAGTGTTGGAAGGGAGTGCAGGGTAGGTGAATATCAGAAGGTGGGCAGTTCTTTTAGGAATCTCTGTCACTTTGCTATAAATGAGCCTATAACAGTCTCATTAAATTGCTTGTGTGTCATTTGGCAAGGCTACCTTTATTATGGGATGTCTGATATGTATGCTTCTTCGCCAGTCATGCAATGTATTGCTGTAATTCCCTTTGGCAGTCCCTTTTCTCAGTGATGGTGCATGCTCTGGACCAGTGATGTCAAACTCAATTTAATCGAGGGCCACATCAACATTATGGTTGTCCTCAGAGGGCCTGTAAGACTATATAAATGTATCTAATCTTTATTATAATTGCCTCTGCATTCGATTATCACTGGTTTTAGTAATAACTTAATACCTAGATCTGAAAGTAGAAGTCTAGGAAGTGGCCTAGTGGGCCTAGATCTGAAAGTAGAAGTCTAGGAAGTGGCCTGGTGGGCCGGATTCGGCCCCTGGGCCTTGAGTTTGACACATGTGCTCTGGACTGTATGCACAGAGCTCAGATGTAATGGAATAAATGCTTTACCCTGGATAGGTCATACAGCAAAAAAATATTTACAGGGTTCTACAGTATAGGGTTAGCTATATGATGTTTATTCTTGGAAAAAAATAGCAAGCAATGGGGTCAAAAATCCTGGCCAAGACACTATCTGCATGGAGCATGCAGGTTCCCCTTGTGCTTTTGTGGGTTTCCTCTTATGGTAGACCCAGGTAACACTCAGTTGAGTGGCTAACAGGTAACACTCAGTTGAGTGGCTAACAAAGCTCTGGTACGCATTTCAGACATGGAGCCACAGAAAGAGTAAGTTTCTAAGGTTTAGAAGTGCATCCAAAGATGGCAACATGGACATGCTAGTAGAGAAGGAAAAAGGAAGATGTGTATTATTGTGTTCATAAAACTGCAGTTACCCGTTAGGAATCTTTTTATAATTTCTTTTCTTTGTAAATAGTAAAAACATAAATTACAGCCGCTCATCGTCCTATGTCAATAGTTGCTGATTAGATGCCCATTCATGATATTGACTCATAAATTGGCCGCCCTGTTGTCAAGTAAGTATGTTTCTTCTCTGACTGAAGCAGTTTCAGCTTGCTAACCACATATGATTATATTGTCAGGTTTTAAGTCATATGAAAAGGAAAATCCCCTAATCCAATTATATGCGTCTGCTCTAAACACCTAATCATGGGCAGTAAGTGATCTCTGCCAGTGTTTATACAGCGGTGTCTGTGGTGGCGCTCTCTCTGCGCAAATTGCTTCAATTTCTCCCAGATTGCCCATTCTCACACGTGGAAATGAACTGTGGCGACATCTGATCCTTTCTAAACTACCGTCGTTCTCTGTGACTGATGTCTCAGTCTGGATCCTGTTACAGAAAGTCACTGAGTGAGATATTAACAAACGTCGCTGTTAGCATATCAGTGCTGATTGAGGAAATAACGAGAGATTCGTCTAATTGCAATAGATCTAGGCAAACGTCCTCAGAATTCTTACATGGCGGTCATACAGGAATCCCGGGCATGTTTATGTTTCTTTATGCTAGTACAGCATATCTGCACCACATTCAAACATCACTTTGGTTCCGTTCACTTGGGGCTTCTGGGATTCCTGCGGAAGGAGTTCTAGGTGTCCTGTTCAGATGCGGTCATCCTGTCGTTTACTTCAATGTGTACAGTGGCCTCATCTGTAAGCGACAGTCTGCGTGTAAGCATACATTGTACAATTACATGTAACACAGTATGTAAGGTTGAATAAAGACCAAGGTCCAACCAGTTCAACCTATGTATGTGAATGTGTGTGTCTATATTAATCTTGTTCTAACACTATATATAACACTATAACACCCATATCCCTGTAGATTCTGCGTAAGAAGAAACTCATCCAGAAGTTTCTTGAATTTATGTTATTATCAGATACCACCGCCTGTGGGAGGGAATTTCAAACTTTCACAGTGAAATACCCCTTGCGGATTCTAAGATTGAACCCCCTCTCTTCCACCTCTTATTGTGTCCCCGGGTTCTCAATGCAGTTTGTAGTTTGGGATAGGTGATTGTTTCTGGATGCAGGATAGACGTGTCCAAGAAAAATCATCTATTCCCATCCCCATGTAATCGCATCATGTACGATTACATGCTGCTGACAGATGCGGCCACTGTCACCATGACATTAACTTCAGTGGGCACAGCGGCCACATCTGAACAGGGACACCTGGGATTCCTGCCGCAAGAATGCATAGGTTGACACATAAATCTCAGAAAGCCCTTTGTGAATTGGGCCTAAAACAGCGATAATAGTTTCTTGCATGTTGTTCAAAATAATTGTAAATCCTGGCTACAGGACATTAACCTTGTTGTGCTTTATGGGACTGACAGCACATCACAGCTGACTGCAGTGTGCCACCAGGTAGTACATTGCCAGACATTGTGTTTTGATGGGGGTGCAATGGGTACTATTGAAAATGGATGACACTGCAGTACGTGTGTTGCTCTAGTGTGTTACCGCAATGCATAGACCTAAATGGGCTCAAAACACTTTCTCCCTAGGTGATGTTAACTATGTGTAATACGGAGCCTCCATGACTTAAAGAACTGATATCCAGTGAATGAAAGGGGGGGGACCAGGGACAGTCAGGCTGGAGAGGAAAGAGCTAGATGATGCTGAACATCCTCCAGCCAGGAAATGATGTGGGCTCTCTCTGACCTGACAAAAAGCAAAAATAAATTGGCAGGGCTTTTACCCTTTCCTACAATAGTCAAAACCAAAAACAGTTTTAGCTTCTTGTTCCAGGGACAGCTGTCTAACAGGGAATTTCCCTTAACTTTGGGAGCTTTGCTTTAACTTCCTGTTGCGCCTCTGGGACAGGAAGTGAAGGAATAATGTCTCTGATTGCACACAAACAACAAATAAACTGGCAGAGGTTTTACCCTTCCCTACTATATCCAAAACTAAAGAAAACGTTTTGCCTTTACATATACTCTAAGCCCCCATTCACGTGAGCCATGTGCGGAGACGTGCAGTGCGTTTTGGCCCATTTATCACTCACCAGCATAGGGCAGCGCATTCATTTCAATGAGCTGCCCTAAGCACGGCAAAGAAGATCATGCAGTAGTTTCAGCTGCGAGCGTTGCACATTTTTAAATGGCGTGCTTCTGCGTGATCTTTAAGCATTACCACGTGTGCCAAGAGGCTCATCGTGCTTGTACGGTTTGGGGTGGCAGTAATGGCACTGCAAATGCAACATGCATGCAAAATTGTGTGCACATTAATGCATAGAACTAGTGTGAATGGGGGCTCACAGAGTTTGTACAGCTGTTTTATGTGATGTTTGTCTGCAGATTTGCAATCATAATGAAAATTCCAGCAAACGTGCTAGAAAATATTATGTCTGCTGTGTTCTGATTCAGTCAGAGCTCAATCGAGTTTCCTTTTTCCCCACAATGTAACTTCCCAAGTGGGCGCGTGTTGTTGTTACATTTCAGCTCCTTTTTATCCGCCGTCGCCCAGGCCGGATTTTTCTCACATGACGCAGAGTGTTTTCAGTTGATAAATCTCCGAATTTCACCCATTGCATTTTTTAAATTCTTTTGTTCCCTGTTTTGTTTTCTTCTTCCCGCAGATTGTCGACGGTAAGTTGTGGTTCCAATTGGACTGTGGCAGCGGGCCAGGAATCCTGGGTATTTCTGGCAGGACGGTGAACGATGGGAATTGGCACTCGGTCTTTCTTGAGCTGAATCGGAATTTCACAAGCTTGTCGCTGGATGACAGCTACGTGGAACGTCGCAAGGCCCCGCTCTACTTCCAGACCCTCGGCACCGACAGCTCTATTTATTTCGGAGCTCAGGTGCAGGTCGAGACAGTCCGAAGCCTCACTGACAAAAGGAGCACACAGGTCCTGGGTGGCTTCCAGGGATGCTTGGACTCTGTCGTCTTGAATAACAATGAACTGCCACTTCAGAACAAGAGAAGCAGCTTTGCAGAAGTGGTCGGCTTAACCGAATTAAAACTCGGCTGCGTGCTCTATCCCGATGCCTGTGAGAGGAAGCCGTGCCAAAACGGAGGCAGCTGTACCAGCGTGCCATCTGGTGGTAAGTATACGCAATTACATCTTCATTTATGAATTTTTCATATTATCAATATTATTGCAGGCATTCAAGGATGGATTAACCATTAGGCATATGCTTAGGGCACCAAGGGAAGGGGCACCACAGAGTTGTATCTCTAGCTATCCTACCATGAAATCAGGGGTTTTTCAACTTTTTGAACAAAGGGCCAGTTCAATGTCCTCCAGACTTAAGATGGGCCGGACTGTGATCAGTTGAATTAAAAATGCCTCAGGATTTGTGGCCAGTAGGAGTAAAAAAAAAAAAAAACTACCTAGCTAAAGTGGTCATTGGAAGAAGGAAGAGTGCCCCATCATTGATATTTTTTTAAAAAGGCCGAAATAGTTGCCTATCATTAATATCAATGGAAGGAATAGTGACCTATCGTTGATATCAGTGGGAGGAATAATGCCCCATTGTGGCAGGAATAGTGTCCCATCAATTCATATCAATGGAAATAATAGTGAACTGCATAATAATAATAGTGGCTTATTGTTAATGTCAGAGGGAGGAATAACGCCACATTGTGGGAGAAATAGCGCCCCATCAATTGATATCAATGGGAGAATTAGTACCCCATCAATTGATATCAATGGGAGGAATAGTGGCCTATCATTAATATCAATGGGAGGAATAGTGGCCTATCGTTGATATCAGTGGGAGGAATAATGCCCCATTGTGGCAGGAATAGTGCCCCATCAATTCATATCAATGGAAAGAATAGTGGCTTATCGTTAATGTCAGAGGGAGGAATAATGCCACATTGTGGGAGAAATAGCGCCCCATCAATTGATATCAATGGGAGAATTAGTACCCCATCAATTGATATCAATGGGAGGAATAGTGGCCTATCGTTGATATCAATGGGAGGAATAATGCCCCATTGTGGCAGGAATAGTGCCCCATCAATTCATATCAATGGAAAGAATAGTGGCTTATCGTTAATGTCAGAGGGAGGAATAATGCCACATTGTGGGAGAAATAGTGCCCCAGCAGTGGTCAGAGAGAGAGAAATTGTGCCCATCGTTGGTGTCAAAGGGGGGTAATATTTCCAAACATTATAAAAATTTGAATGAAGGTCTAACTCTATCCCACCCTATCCAGGGCTAAAGAGAAATAGTTTTGCCTTTTAAACCTATTGTGTTTAATGGTTTCTTGTCTAGGGATCAATGAGCCGATGGTCTGCTGAGGTTCTATATTTGGTTCTGGTCTGATTAGGGGACAATGGCTTTGTCCATGAACACTTTACCCTGGGAACACAAACGTTTATTTAAATATAGTCCTTAAAGGAGAACTGTCACAATGAGACTGTCACAGGTCGGCTCAGTAGATCGGGAAGTGAGCGGACACATACCGGCATTCGCTCACTTCTCGATCCTGTGACGGCAGAGAGCCGTGACAGGGGAGGGACTGGATTCCCCCCTCCAGCGCTGACTGGCGGAACGGACAGGTGAGGGGGCGGGTACAGATGGCTCTGCCTCTAGATAGACAGAGCCAGCTGTCACTCACGCAGCTGGGCGGATCCATACATAATTGTCGTGAGCTGTAGCTCGCGGTATACTGAGCTTAGGGTGACGGGAGGACGCTAGTTTGTGTCCTCCCGTTACCCTAAGGAGAACTATGGGGAAAAGCCCTAACCCCATAGTTCTCCTTTAATAGCCACGAAAGAAGTAAATCTACTTTGTGTGCCACACATGTTTTTGCAATGCCAAATATTACCTTGTACAAGTAGCGGCGACATCATCACTGTGCAGAGAGCAGAGCTGTAGGAGGGGCCCAGCAAGTTTAACCACTGCAGGCTGCATGCAGAAAACTACAGGAGGGGTGGAGATAAGACCAGTCACCCTGCACAAGAAAAGAGAGAGCAGCAGTGACTGGTCTGTATTAGGGGAAGCTCCTGCACAAAGTTTTAAATTAAAGTTTTGAACTACTGCACATATCTGGAAAGAAATACAAAGCTCACCAAGATTCAGGTAAGAATAGACATGACTCTTGTATTTAGACAATATTTGCTTATCCCGGGGTTCACCTTTAAAATAAATAGTCACTGACAGGGAGTAGATTTACTAGTTTGCTGTGACATTTGTGGATAGCCTTACAAATGTAATTAATTCCACTAACATGCCTGCACATCTGGGAAGGTTTCGAAGTACATGTGTCTGCAATGTGTGCACTGAAAGATACTTTCTTCCTATACTGCTTAATTTTAATGAGTTTATCACCGCCGACAGGGCTGCAGAGGGTTCTTTCACATGGGGCTCCTGAGTTCTGGAGGGTTCTGAGCTGGAATCCTTGTGTTGTCCTTGTGGCACTGCCAATATGCAGATGCCAAGTTGCTTGGTTAAAGCAGAACTAAACTTTAAAAAAATCATAGCAGGTAGACTTCCTGGCAAAACTAGTTTACCTCTCAGCCAACCATTTTTATGCATTCTGTAAGGTGTTGAGAAGGAAGCTAGGTGCCAGGATGATGTAACTCTAGTGCTCATGTACAGTCACATCAGTGGTCACCCAATGGCAGAACAATAGAGATGCCGGGCAATCAGATGGCTAGGAGAAAATGTCAGCTACTGTGAATGGAACAAGGAAAGGGAACATTGCTAGACATAGGAGGCCAAACAAGGGGATACGCCTGTCATAATGTGCAAGAATTCTGCTCAGACTTGCAGTTTAAGGCAAAGGACAACCTTTTTTATGCATTTTGTAAGATGTTTAGAAGGGAGACAGGTGCCAGGACGATGTAACTCTAGTGCTCATGTACAGGAGTTACATGACCAGTGGTCACCCAATGGCAGATAGACTTTCTGTTAAAACTAGTTTACCTCTCAGCCAACCATTTTTATGCATTCTGTAAGGTGTTGAGAAGGAAACCAGGTGCCAGGATGATGTAACTCTAGTGCTCATGTACAGTTACATGATCAGTGGTTACCCAATGGCAAAAGAATGGAGATGCCAGGCTAACAGAAGGCTAGGAGAAAATGCCATCTACTCTGGATAGGGCAACGAAGGGGAACCTTGCATCAAGGGAGGAGGCCAAACTAGAGGGTAAGTCTTCTCTAATGTGCAAGTATTCTGCTTAGACTTGTGCATTATGCCAAAGGCTCTAAGGACCCTTTGTGGCATTAGTTTGGTTTTAAAGTGATCCTGTAAGGGACATCAGTGTGTCCAGACAATGTATACTGCCAAAACATAGGCATCATATAGTGCGGCATGTATATTCCTCTAATTGAGGGCTTGAATTCCAAGGAGCCAGGTAGACAGTTATCCTCAAAGACTACAGATAGCACCCAAATTTGAGGTTTTCTGGTTTTCTCTTGTCCTAATTAAAACCTGATTGCTCCTGGATTGGACAAACTGGCTCCAGAATTCCATACCAATTTTTCCACCCTTGTTGATTTTGCCTATGGTGGCACCTAAATCCTGGGCACACAATATACAAAGAGCCACCATTTCTGCCCAACTTGGAGCTAAGCCCTACCACTCCCAGAGCTGACCCCCATCTATTGCCAATTACAGGTCTAATGGCAAAATCTGTGTTCCATTTTTGATATAGAGATCTTTTGCTCTTATTTTGGAGGGATGAAAAAAATCATATTAAGGCGCACTTGCTTTGCTCTACATCGGGCAGGAGTTGAGGCCCTGTGTATAACTGAGTACCTGTCATCTACACTCTCCTCTGACGTACAGAAGTCAGTTGAAGGATCATCAAGAGATCTTTGAAGTGCCTGCATTTGGTCAGTAGTACATGTTTGGGCAAATTAATGCACTGGATTGGTTTGGGCACATTGATGCACTAGATTGGTCAACTGTGTTATAGAAGACGCACACCAAACGTATTGCCATTTTGCAGCACAAGAAAGACATATGGAATGCAAAAGGTCCATTGCTTTCAGTTTGGTCTGTTCATAGCAATACAGCTACATTTTTATGTTAAAAAAATAAAATAAAGTAAAAAAGACAAATTTGTATCAATTTTACTTCTCACAAACTTTACGCTGGGTTCACACCTTAGCGTATTGGAAACTCGCGTTTGCCACGCGTTTTACCGCGATTTGCGGTAAAAGAAACGCGCGGCAAACGCGAGTTTCCGAGGGTGTATCCGGCTGTATCCTGATGGATACAGCGGGATACGCGCGTTAATACGCCCCAAAGAAGCTCATGTACTTCTTTGAGCGTATGGCGTTTTACCGCGCGATCGCACGCGCGGTAAAACGCGCAGGTGAGAACCATGCCTATAGGCTAACATGGGTTTTCACCTGTTGCGCGTGTTACGCGCGGTAAAACGCTCAGGTGTGAACCGGGCCTTAGAGTTTTCAAAAAGGAAAGAAACTAAACCTCCTGGACAACTATGAGAAGTCATTCATGTTCTCCAGGCTGGGCACATCTGGCCATCTTCTATGGCCTGTGGCCATCTTTAACACCTGCCCCATCCAGTCACCAGTGGTGTAGCAGTATCTCAAACACAATTTTTTTTTTCTATGCCCCGACGCTTTATGTACCGGACTGTGCCAGATTGAGTACAGAGTCATTTCTGCAGTGTGTGTTATAGCCATCTGAAGGTACTTGTTAATACATAGATTTCCGCTCTTGTAAAAAGTAGGTTAAGTACCAAGGAGTCAGTCATGCCAGGTAATTACAATCATAGAGCAGGCAGTGAAATCGTTCTTCTAAATGATGCAGCTAAGCCTTCAATTTGTACTTTAAACCAATCCACACGAGCTGCAGATAAACTGTTATTTAGGGAAGTCTGGAGTTATTAAAGTGGCATTTAGTGTCCAGCGCTGAATGATAGCTTGATACGGGTTCTCGGTTTGTTTTACAACCTGTGTGAGGCTGAGTGTCCTTCACAGCTCTGATTCTGTTTATATGTGTTGTTAATGCTAATGGAGTCCAAGCCGATACATATGAATAGAACATGACAGTGTATTCTTAATGAGTACACATTTCACATTCTTAGGGGCTGATTTATAACGCGTTCGTCCAGAGTA